AAATGCAAGAATTTAAAACTCGACGAATGTCAGAAGACGAACGAATGCTTGAAGCTAAAAGAGAACAAGCTCGTTTATTAAAACATATTGTAAATGATGAATCGAAGCTAAAATTTCAATAAATTCTATTTTTAATTTATTTAGCGTTTTCCGAATTCAAGAATAAAAGATGATCAATTATCAAATATTGACGAGAATGAACATATAATCACTGAATTTGATTCAAATAATAAGAATTCATTTCTTCAACGAAGTTCATCTATTTTTGATGAACAAGAAACTTATATAGATCCATGCTAACATATAAAATATTTTCAACAAGAAAGTGACAATGAAAAAAAAATAATGTCATTTTAAGACAGATTAAAATTTGTTTTGTTTTTCTTAATTCACTGGACAATTTTGAATAATAAAAGATTTTCTTATGTTTTATTTTTTCTTTTTTTTTAATAATCGTCAATCACACACTTTTCTCTTTTTTTTTTACGTTTGTCTTTTGTTTTCTTTATTTATAATGAAAATAAATATTGTCTATTACTCAGATTTTTTTTCGGTCATCATGGCTATGATTAATGATTGTGATCACAATTTACTTGTATGGATTGATTTGGAAATGAGTGGACTTGATTTAAATATACATACAATCGTCGAAATAGCAATAGCAATTACTGATTTTCATCTTAAAAATTATATTGAAGGTTGGTATTTAGTTGAAATCAAAAAAAATTATTTTCTTTACTATATATTTTATATTAGGTCCAGATATTGTTATTCATCATGATCAGGATGTACTTGATAGAATGAATGATTGGTCAAGAGAACAACACACTAAATCAGGATTAATTGAATTAATTCGACAAAGTCAAATATCATTATATGATGCTGAAACAACAGTTATTGATTTTCTTAAACGTTATTGTGCTTCCGGTTCTGGAATTCTAGCTGGAAATTCAGTTTTTGTTGATCGATGGCAAGTTTTATTATTATTCGGAAGGATTCATAAGAATAATATACGATAAATTTTATCGGATTCAAAGAAGTTACATACAATACTGGATGACATTTAAAAAAAAAATTATTTCAACCAAAGATCATTACAGGAGAACTCTTTTCTTTTATGTTGACCTTGAGACAGAACAAAAAAACCTTCATCAGCCATTTTCACGTAGAACCTATCTGGCCCAACATTGTTGGCTATGGACATGAATCTAAGTCATACTCCTAACTCTGACAATCATTCTGCTACTAACACACTCTATACATTTTTTGCACAATCTTGACGATGATCTTATAATGATCAAGTCATCATAAGCTTTTATCATTAGAGTTTTGTCCATTGGCTCAATTCTACATTTGGTCAACAGAAAATTTTCAGGTCGACGTTCGAAACCATTTCGATGGACTCTATTTTCAGAACAGGGTAAAAGAATGTCATTTGATGATCTTTGTTTTCAATCGAGTTCATTGTCTTTCATAAGTATTCAAAGAAAAAGGGAATCCATATAAATCGATCGAGAAGAATATGGCCTACATTTTGGTAAATAGAATTTTTAAAAATCAATTGACCTTTGAACTAATGTAACTAGTTTTCAACATGCACATTGCATGTAAACTCTTACAAGGGTTTCTTCTTTTCAAATATTAACTATGAAACAACGTCAGACACTGTGCAAAATAGCAGCCTATTGAAAATTTCACCAACAAACATTTGGATAGTCTTTGATGGATAACTTTCTGATATTAGTACAGTGTCTGTAATTATTATGAATCCAATATTGGAATAAGCAAAATGATTATTTTAGTAAAATACGAAGAGTTTATATTAAATGTATGTTGTAAAAAAAAATACTTCAGTGGCTAATTGGTTTTAAAAAGATTTTATTTACCAAAATTTTACTCATGTTCTCGTCCATCTATTTATATGGATTCAGCTTTTTTTGAGAATACTTATAAAAGAAGATTAACTCAAATGAAAAGTTCGTTCAAAAAACAATGCGGTCCATTAATATATATCCCTGGATTAAACTAAGTACAATTTTCAAAGACTTGTTTAAAAATAATATTATTAAAGAAAATTCAATGTCGATCATATTTGAGTTCCAGTAATAGATAATACTGAATAAACTATAATCAAGTCAAAGTTTTCGACACGTAATCTAAGCTGATACGATGACAAAATAAATTATTTAAGTAAATAGTTATAGACAAATGTTCTAATCATGTTAAATAACAAAATAATAGTTGTAAAGATGAATGTCTCTTTTTTTTAAATATTCTTAAAGATTATCTTTAAAAAAAAATATGATTTTCTTTCAAATAACTTTAGGTTTATTGAAAAATATATGCCACGTCTCAATGGAATTCTTCATCCAAGTATTGTTGATTGTATGTATAGATATCGTTTGTTTTTTTCAATTTTTAAAAGTTAAACATTTCAACTGAATGAATATTTAAGGTAGTACTTTGAAAGAATTAACATTACGTTGGCAACCAGTGCGATATACTAAACGACCTCACAAACAAATGATGCATCGAGCACGTGATGATATACGAGAATCGATTAATGAACTTAATCATTATCGACAACAGTAATAATAAAATTCTATTTTTGTTTTGCATCTGTTCTAAATATATATTTAATATAATTATAGTAATTTCTATCTCGGTTGGCATGCTATTCGCCATCCACCTTATCTTCCTGCATCTATTTTGTCAAATCCTCGTACACATTTAGTTTGGTTAAAAACTGATTGTGATCAAGTCAATCATGTATATGTAATTATAACCGATGGAAATCTTAATATTTTAAATGATATTTATCTTGATATGAATGATAAATGCAATCAATATTCTTTATTAGTTGGTTTTTTACATAAAAATATATTAGTTAATCGAAGTTCTCCTATTTGTGGTCAATGTGTTCATATTGATCGTGCTAGAATACAACGTGTTATACCTGAATTTCTTTCATGTTGTCATTATCGAAGTATTGATGTCGATGTTTTAAATGTTCTTTGTCGAAGATGGGCTCGAAAAGTATACGAAAATCGACCGTAGGTTTAATTTTATTGAAAAATTTCTTCATATTTATTGATTTATTCTAGAATAATATATGCTGATTCAAATAATCTTGTAGCAGAATTGCAAGGATCTATTCAATTGTTACAATATTATCGTGCTAATGTATTCAAATTCGATCTTTTTGATCAAGAAAAACAGTCATAAATAAATAAAATGAAAAAGGAAAGAGAATGCGTATATTGTAAACAATAGCTAAAAACAAAAGAGATGTTGATGAATAAAAGATAAAAGATAGAAAGCAAAAAATGAACGTGTTTATAAACTATAATATCAAGTATTCGATAAGACATAGACTTAACAATGTTGCCCTATCATAAAATAAGAAACAAGTAAGAGCGGTCATCATCTCTATCTTTATCATAAAGCTATTATAAAATGACAAGCGTTTGTGAAAATATTGGTAAGAAGTAGAGATATTACGTGTGTAAATACAATTCATTGTCAAGTTTATTAAGTTAGTAGAATGATGACAGAGATAAAATTGTTTTTGTTTTTTTTTAAACTTATTGTTTAATTAAAATTTTAAATAGATTCTCTTCAATTATACAATATTTAAAAAATTTATTATAAACAATCAAATGAAAATCTATACATTAACGCGCATTTCTAGAAAAGAAAATTTATCAGTATTTTCGACTGAGTTTGTCTTTTACACAAGTAGAATTGATGATAGTTTTCTTTTTTAATACGATACTATTGATTATCTATATCGTAATTATTTTCATTACTTTTATTGTTCATAAATTTATTTTATTTTCTGTAATTAAAAAATATTTTTCATGGTTTACATTGTATATTATTATTATGAGTCTATTATCAATCAATGATCTTCTATTAGATTTTATCTATGAACATATTTCGAATAACTTCATATATATTCTTTTCACTATTGATGGTATTTTAACTGGTACTCTTCTTGCATTTATTGTACTAATTTATTCATATTCATGGTCGATTTTTCATATCTTTCTTACAACAATAATTATTTTAATTTCCAATTATTATCAATTAAATAAATTAAAAAAAGATTCTTTAATAAATGATTTTCAAAAAAATTTTATTCTTATTGTGATTAATTTTTTACATATTGTCTATTGTATCTTGAATGGTTTGCAAACATATATGCATCGTATCATAGCACTTAGTGGCATGTGTATATCCTTTTATATAATATTGTTTCAACAATTTAACATTGAATTTAAAATTCCAATGCCAATCGTTATTATGCATTTTGTACAATCGATTCGAAGTTTTTTTCTTTATTCAGTTGTCATTTGTGTTCGTAATCGAACGGCGTATTGGTAGAAATGATTTTTTTTTCTTCTTTTTGAAGAAGTAGGAAAAGAAAAAAAAAATCGAAACGTTATATGATGTTGTTTTTTCAAGCAACAACACCTACTCAATCGGTACTGTTTTGCTGTAGCGAAGCAGAAGAGAGAAAGAAAGAATAAAGAGAGTGAATTTGTTTCGTATGGCTTTTTTTCTTCATTTTTTTGTCAAGTGTCTGATTAATAATTCTAGAAAGAAAGCAAACTGGAGTCATGTTTTCTTTTCACATGTACATGTGAGGCATTCTGTTTTTCTGTTTTGGTTCTTGTTCTCATTACCATGATTATTATCAGATGAGATAATTTATGAGTTCATCTCGTTTTATTATTCTTGTATATATCATGAGATAAGAGAGACTGCCCTGAAATTCTTTATGACATTCGTTCGAATGACTTGTTTTGAAACAAATGTCAGATAGCTTTGATGCACATGGCATGCTGTATATCGTAGGTTTAGTCAACTGAGTGTCAAGTGTCAAACACGAAAAAAAACTGTCCAATAACAAAACGATAAATATAACGGTTTTTTTTTTCTAATTTTTCTTCTATTGTATTTGAATTATTTTTCATTAGTATCTATAGATATGTTCAATGGCTCTAAATAAATTATCAAGACCAAAAATATTTCGTGTTGATTATTGTGGTTGTACAGCAGCAGCATTACTTTTAAATGATCAAACCATACGAGATGCTATTGATTTTATACGTCAAGTAAAAACAAAACGTGATTTTATTAAAACAAATCTAACAGTATTGAAAGATGGTATCAAAATTACATATGATGATAAACAAAAGTTTTCTACTATTGTACCATCAACCATGATTGCTGCTTCAGCTGTTAGTAAAACACCGCATGATGATACTGTTGGTATGTTATTGCATGTTGAATAAAAAATTTAATTTATTTATAAATTTTTATATTTAATTAGGTGTTATTTATATTTCACCATTGAATGGTCAACATTATCCAGCATTTGTTCATGTGTATCGATGTGATTCATCACGTACTGCTCAAAAACTTTCATCTCGTCTTTGTGCATATCTGCTTGTTGAAAGTCATCGTCTCCAAATAATTGAATTAGAACAGCAATTACTTGATCGTAATTTATTGAATATAGATTATTTTAATGCGAGAAAATCACAAAAAACAAATATAGGTACTTCATTGTCATCAGCAAGTAGTGATAGCCGACAAGAAAAAATACCAGATCCAATTAAATCAATTACAGAAGAGCTTCAAAAGAAAATTAATTCACAAGAACCCATTCTATTTCCTCCGAAAGATTATGATACAATACATGCTGCTCATGGAAATATTCAACGAGCTCAAGCATGGCGAAGTACAGAGGTAAGAAAAAAAATCTATTTGTATTAGATCACTATTTTGTACATACACATTCATATGTGCAAGGTTATCTTACGTTCTCTGATCAATCAATAGCTCATTTAATTTATTGAGCGAAGTGGGACACTTCAAAAAAAAAAAAAAAAGAAATCCTTGTTGGCGTCAGTATATAGAAAGAGAAAAGTAAATTTAGTAAGCGATTACCTTCCTTTCGTATTCGTGATCTGAGGGCATCCGCCGGTGTCGTTGTCGCCGTCTCTTTGTCATCTTCTGTTGAACAAGCATACATATTTTCTTTCTGGCTGTCTCTTATCCTCCATTTTAAATTCAGCAACAATATTTTGATCACATCACCATTCATTCATCGAAAGATTAGCATATATTCTTCTTTATTCTATATGTCTAAGCAGTAGTAAATGACCGTCTCTTTTTAAACGTATTGTTTGAATCATATGATATAATCATTCAACATGGTACGTGTTAAACATGAAATGCATAGATCAACAAATTTGACAACACTTTTCACAGCTAAATTACGTTCCAATTTTGGCATGTGTTTTGGGTTTAAGGTGATCAAGACTTTAATTGAACTACACAAAAAAAAAACACTTAAGAACTAAAAACTATGCAAATTTAATTTAATTTCTTTTAGCCCGCAATTATTGGCTACTCACCAATTAATTCAGATGATAATCGAACACGACAGAATCTACAGACGAATGCTCTTCCAATAAATGACGAACGTAAGAATAAAGTTGTTATTGACAACAATAATGAGAGATCTGGTTTACTGACTCATCGAAGTGATGCTACGGTTGATCCGGTATAAAAATTTATTAATTGATCATTTACGTGATAATCATCGATATTTTTTTTTTCATATAGGTGGAAGCTGTTAGTTTGGCTTTCGATTTTCTCAAAGATGAGACAAGTTCAATTTTTACTGATAATGATGGTAATATTGAACATCTTGAAATGCAACAACCCACTAAACCACCAGTTTATCGTTTTCGACCACCACAAATCACTGCTGTTACTAAGTGTGTATTACATTGTCCTTGCAATTTTTCTCTATGTGACAATCGATATTTTCTCTAGAAAATTATTTAATCGTAACAATAATTATGAATTAACAAATGGTTTACCACAATCAAATGCATCATCAAGAAATGATCTCGATGCCTATAACAATAACAACAACAATAATAATAATTATTATAATAATAATTATAATAATAACAATAATAATAATCATTTTATTCAAAATAAAAATCGAAGTCGTTCTGAAATGCGTTTAGATTATGATCAACAACAACAACAGAATTTACATCATAATCCCTTTTATGAAAGTCGTCTTGTGAAAGGAAGTGGTGCTGCAATTACAATGAATCCAATTTGGTCAGCTCAATCACCTAATATGGTATCTTCTCAACCCAATTTATTATCAGATCAAAATCTTATTGATTCAACAGCATTTCATCGTCAATTATCTCCACAGATGGAACCACGAGTGTCTTCTATACCTATACAACAATCTCTTTATGCAAGCTATCCAGATAATAAATCAGGTATGATGAGACAACAGCAAGAAAATCAACAAAAACGACCATTACCTACACAACATCAATCCAACAGAAAACAAGGAGCGCAATCACAGTATCTTGATACAAATGAATTTATTTTACGCGCATCCAATGGTCAACCATTGAGACATGTTCAATATCCAAATCGACATATTGCAAGAGATTATCGACCTCATTCAATGAATGATAATGGTACCAATGGTGTTATGCTTGATGTGTACTATTAATTTTTGTTCTTTTTTTTTTTTTATTTCTTTTTTTTTACAAATTTATATTCATTTTTGTTTTCGAAACAACAGTGAGATGGTTATCTACCTGTGTACCTGCGTAGCCTTTACTAAGCCGAATGAAACAAGGTGTATTTTTTTTTTGACATATTGCTTGTTCAGATTGATCATTATTGCACTATTACCAAACATATGCCTCATTTTCCGAATAGTACTTTATTACTTTCCATGTACTTTTCAATTACTAATAAGAAAAATAAAATATATATATATACATATATGTGTCTGTATAATTTATTTCCATCAAACGTCTATTTCATTATTGCTTTATTTCTATTCTGGCACAATAGACAATACATATCGTAGCATAGTTATTTTCTTTGCATCGATGAAAAATATGTGTATATACATTTTAAATATAGAAAATTATTTTATGTTAGACAATAATTAACAATCAGTCTGAAGTTTATACGAAAGATAAAGATGATCATTTATATTCAAAGATTCATATCTATTGAGAGTAGAAAATTCTTATGTATGCATTTCACATTCAAAAACATCTATAAGAACTTAAATGCTACTAATAAATATATATCTTCTTGTTTTCTAAATTAACTTAACAAGCTTTTTTTTCTTAAACCAAAGAGCTGTTACGTTGTTCCCTTTTAAACGTTGATTGTTTTCATAAATTTTGTTCGAATATCATTTAGCTGTATGAATCAAAGAGAAGAAAAATACAATAGAAAATTCTATTAGATGAATCAGTGCATTCTCAGATAATATTCAATCCACTGTCATTACTTACACTCGCTGTTTTTATCTCAATAGCGAGGTAGGAAATACAGTGAAACGAAAATCTGAATTTGTCTTCAAAAAAAAAAAAATTTAGAAGATTGATTGAGAATTTGACGACTATCCAATGATGCATCGCTCATTCATGTATCAGAGCGAGGTATAACTGAACAGTTGTCTCATTGACATTCACACTACAAATCAGGTCAACTAATAATGATGCTAATGACTGTCTGTTATACTTCGCTGATTATCATTTCGCATAGCGTGGCACAAGCAGAACAGTAGTTAACACACATCATTGTTCAAATCAATTTAAATACATAAAAAAAAATAAAATATTCTTACACGCATTGTCACCGTCCTTGTATCTCCCTAGTTTTTTCACAATACTCAAGGGAGGCACATTGAACAGTGAAAGTGCATAAAGAGCTTGTTGATGATGACAAAACAACGTACACAAGTCAACGCATACGCAGAATAAACTATCAACGCATTTCTCAAAGGTGATGACCATATCAGAAAGAAAATTGCTTTTTACACTAAATCATTTTCTTATGGCCTCGACCAGCATGTATAACCTAATGAAAGCATTACTCCATCTTTTTATATATCGTGATCGACGGACGAATGTGAAGCAGTAATAGAAGAAGAAAATAATGTCATCAAGAAAGTGAAAGAGTGATACGTCCACAATGAAAAGAAAGAATAGATACGAATATCCCTGGATATCGTGTATAGATGTCGTCAAATACGTATATAGGTTAAGAACATATGTTAACAAAGTTACGTTTCTACTCTCTAATTCTTTATCGACAAATAACTTAAAAGTTGTATAATTACTGGAGTTGTTGACAGTAACATTTCTGTTTGTTTTGATATCTTTGAGAAAATCAAAATGCATATATTTTATTTTTATATTATTGAAGTATAAAAAAGACAGATCACCAAGTTTCATCACGAACTATTCGTCTGTATAAATTTGTTTTCATTAGGAATGTGAATACATAAAAAAAGAAAAAAAAAGCGAAGTTAGTAACAAATTATCTAGACATGATTCACTTTCAAACACATTTGTTTTAATTATAAACAAAAAGAAATATAATTTCCTTTTCGAGACAATACACTGGAGTAGTAAGAAGACAAAGAGAAGATACTGTTAGACATATGGAAAGGCAAAAGAGAAATTTTATAAGTGTGTGTGAATTTCATTTGTTGTTGATCCTTCATCATTAATGTATGCCGGATTTTCTTCTGAGCAAATTGTAGTCGAATGAATTTCTTCATCACCATCATCATTGATTACTTCGATATCACTCACATCTTCAACTGTAGAACGTGCAGATACATTTGTATTATCAGTTGTACCACCAATAGAACCAACAAAAAAATTAGCAACACGTGGTGTTGTTGAAGTTTCATGTATACTGCCGTATCGTCGAGGATTTGATGGTCTATCGAAAGTAAGTCCTATTGTTGTTGTAAGATTTGTTGATGTTGTTCCTAGTGATGAAGATGAATTTTCAACATCATCTACTGATTCATTTGTGGCAAAGGAAACATTATGTATACCTCTACCGGATGGATTAAGCAATCGACGTTCTACAATGAAGATAGTCTTTTTTATTGTTTTTATTGATTTGATTATAAAAATTTTACCAGACGATTGTTGACTTGTTGATGCATCTGTTGTTGAATTATTATCATTTGAATATACCAATGGTGTTTGTTCTGTTGGTGTTCTTGCTTGTTGATGAATATCACTTTCTTCTTCATCGGGATTATCATGATCAGAAAATACATAACGTTTACATACCGGACATTGACGTCGATTATTTATTAACCATGGATCAATACATTTCATATGATATGCTACAAATAAATAAAACAAATTCATAAGAAAGAAAAGAAGTTTTTAAATCAAAATTGCATACCATGATCGCAAGGCAAAATACGTAATTTAGCTCCATCTTCATAATCATCCAAGCAAATAGCACATACTTCCCATGGGTCACCTTTAACAAATTTTTTTATTTTTAATTGTTTAAGTGCTGATCGTGGTAAACGATGACGACGTTCCTGACGTCGTTGTAAACAAACTTTTACCAACTAAATTAAAATTTCATCCTCAATTCTTTTCTTTTTAATTATAAACACAAAATCTTACTACGAAACCAATAAGACCAAGAATTGTAAACGAAATAATCACAGCAATTGGTACTAAATAAGCAGTCACTGGTAATGATTGTTCTGGCGTTATTTTTACATGATATCTATTTGAAGACGAAAATCGAAAGAGGATTTTTCAAAACGATAAAAGAATAAAAATAAGAAATTTACGTTGGAGTTGAATTAAATGTAGTTTTATTAAACAAATAATAAGAAATCAATGTTAAACCGCTAGTACGGGTAATTAATGTTGATGGTATACGAACATCTAAATTTATAAGAATGAATATTAAATTTAATTTAGTCTATTTTCTTACTTCTTCCCGATGATCCCATAGTAATTATTGTATCATCATAATTATATATAATAACAGCACTAAAATTTGCATTTTGAGCATTTTGTACCTTGAAATATCAGGAAATAAAACTACATAGAAAGAAAAATTTGGAATTTACCTTAAGAGCAAATTCACATGAGTCATTTCCTCGTGTTCGAGGAATAAGTGCAATCCAATGATAGCCAAATGTTGGAATATTTGGTGGTGGTACTATTTTTTTACATCCATTTTCTGGCTCGGTTGTCGTAATATAACCCTATTGTTTTCAATATCAGTACAAAAATAAAACAGTTTAATAATAAAGTCAAATTTTACTTTTAATCCGCCTGTTGGAAATGATGGTCCAAAACTAGCTGATTGATCATCAAAATCTTTGATTAATTGATTTGAAGCATTATACTATGAAAATAAAAATATAAGATCTTTATATTAAATAAACACTTGTTTTCTATCATACCACAGAAACATCCGATAAAGCGATTTGAAGAATTGATAGAAAAAAACAACATACAATCAATGAAATAATGTTTATCATCATAGATGAACTATACAAAATAATAATAATACAAAAATAAAATATTATTTTGGCACTCGAATATTTTATAAAGATAGCAATCTGTTACTGACGTATTTTATCAAATCATGAGGTAACAGAACAAATTTTTTGTGTTGGTCAAATGAACAACCTGAATACTAGTGATCAATGAGAGAGGGCACTAGCATTTGGTTTGAATAGAATATTTACACAATTATATTTGATTAATATTATATCATTATTTTAAATAAGATTATTTAGTAACACAAGTTCTTGACAAAATATGCATTTTTTGTCGCTAGTAGTGGTGTAAGATCACTAGTTGATTGTTATTAGTACAGAACTCATGATCATCACATGTTCTATATTATATTTCAAGTAAATGCGTAATGTGGTTACTTCCATACAGTGAACATTTGCCATAAATAAACATAAATATTTCATCATATGTTTATTTTTTATATTTGATCGATTAAAACTAATAAAAATTTATCGTCATTTACTTAATTATTATATGAAATGATTCACATAGTTATTGAAGTATCTTTTTGTATTCTTTCTAGTAAATAACTCTCACATTAATGTCGTTTGTTAATTTTATTTTCTTTCTCACATGACCTTTCGTTACCTTGTGACTATATTTAACATGCGACAAGGGTGAATGGAAGAGAGTATAAAAAAAGAAACAAAAAACATAACTAAACCTTTTCATCATTTATTTTCAGAAGATAGAAAATAATGTCTGTGAAGAAAACTGCAAATTTAGGTCAAACTAGTATTTTGACAAAATTACCAAATATATTAAAATGTAATGGTCCAAAACTTGTACCATTTTTTAAAACAGTCGCAATTTTTTTTATACTTTTTCCAAAATCTAAATATAAAACTGCTGATATGTTTTATTTAATATTTAAATGTTTACCAATATGTTCATTAATTTTATTTATTTTATTACATGGAATTAATTTACGTGGATTTGAATATTCTTATTCAAGAAGAATTTTAACGGGTTTAGCTTTTTCATTACTTGGGGACGCATTACTTGTCTATGATCATGCATTTTTTATTCATGGTGTTTTAGCATTTGGCATATCACATATATTGTATGCAACTGCATATGGTATGAGACCATTAAGAGTATTTATGTTACCATTCATGGTATTACC